AGCCAAAAAATAGCAAGGCAGCCCAAAATCTTAAACCCCCCTGCAACTCAGACTAACCTGAGCACAACCAAACAGAAACTCCTCCAGCCAATCAGAGCACAGCCAACCCCCCAGCCAATCAGAGCACAGCCAACCCCCCAGCCAATCAGAGCACAGCCAAGCCCCTAACCAATCAGAACACACCTCCACCCAATCAGAACACAGCCAAGCTCCCACCCAATCAGTTCATACCCCCACTGGCAGTTAAAAGGAAGAAACAGCTAAGACCACACATTGCTCCTCGAAGCACAAAGCTGAAAACACCAGCCTGAAGATGACGAATGGGACTTCGTCGAAACGTCGCCAAGACACTTCCAATTTTACGTGGGAGAAAACCCAAACAACCAAAGACCTACATACAAACACCCGCGAAAACCTCAGAAAACATATATATATGTCAGCCAAACCCAAACTTAAATGGGTTTGGCTGACATAAGTCATCATTGCTTACTGGCTTCTCAGCCCTGATGATGTTGGGAGCCTCCCCAACGAAAGCTTGGTGGTTTTAGTAAAGTATATTTTTATACCTATATTCTCCTGGTGATCGTATTTTTATTTGTATCATAAATATGCCCAGGAGTCATATTTTTATGCAGTCATATATATCATGCAGCTTTTCTCTCCTTAAATTCTTCTAATCATTGATGGGCTTATTCCAGGTCAAGTGCGTAACAAGACAGGGAAACTAATCTCTCCAAATCCTATAGGGCTTCTTTTGAAAAGATCCATAGACTGTAAGTGTTCCTCTCAAATTCTGACAGTTAAGATTGCTTAAGCAAGGTGCCCACTGAGTTTGGAAGTTTTTCAAAATCTTGAAACATACATGTCATGTCACAATGGAAATTGCTCCTCCTATATAAAGCACATGCCTGTTTGCAACGCAATGGTGCATATATAAAGGCAAAACTTACACTGCAACACATGTTTAATCATTTGCCCTTCTGCACACACCCCTTGTCAATATTCATGTTAGCAGATCTCACATTTGTTGCTCCAGATTAAAAAATGTGATCTTCAGCTATATGTAGCTTTCCAGAAGCTTTTTTGCACCATCTCCTCCCCAGTGAATGAAGTAAGAAAAACAGAGTCTTCATTTTTTATTTTTAGAGTGGGGGCTTGGGGATAAAATGAGTGTGTTGAAAGAAAATTCTTCTCCAGTGTCCAGTCCAAGCCGGGATTAAACAAAATGGAGACTGCTTTAAAAAGAAGGTTGTAGTTTATTGAAGAGCAGAACCAGACAGAAAGATAGCACTGGGAAAGCTGACCCCATGGAGCAGGGAGTGGTGGGTTTTTATATCTTCTTGGGCTTTTGTGTTTGAAGTTGTTCCTGTGCCATGAATTTTGACTTGAGGTTCAGTGTGCCTTTCTGGTATTCTAATGGTGGTGGGTTAATCCTATTATGTCCCAAAGGTCATATTCTGCTTCCCTGGGGCTGTGGCTGATGATTATGTCCTTTGTTAGATTTTTTGGCGTGAGGGGTTGTTGATTCTAGGGATCTTTATCTTTCTAATCCCATCAGCTCCAAGCTTCCTGGCTCCAGCCTTTCTGAAAGGATTATCACATCTGCATTTCAACAGACCTGGTTTCTGCTGAATTTCTGGTCAGGGGGAGGGAGATGTTTTTGCCTTTTTAAAGATCTTCTCCTATATTCATTTGGGGAAATATAATATTCGGCCTTTTTAATATTTCCCAAAATATTTCCTTCTCTAGGAGGAATGACTTCCAACAAGTGTTATAAACCTTGTAGGGCTTAAGGAACTATCTTTCAAAGTGAAATTCCTTTTAAAAATAGGCCCTGCTCATTTTTGGATTGCTTCTCTTATTTGTCTTTTTATTCAGAAAAGCATATGCAAAGCCCGGTTCAGTTCCCAGATCAAAGGAACCCAAACATATCTGAAATAAGAGGTTCCAAGTAGGGAGGGCTAATCAAAAGGCATTGTTCACCTATTTTCATTTTTCCTTAACACATTTTAAAATGTACGTGTTTTTAAAATGTGTATTAATAAGGCCAATCTTGAAAGTTGAAGGGTTTCTGAACTAGAAAGGAATAACTTGCTACTTTTTTTACTTTGATTTATCAGGAAAATATTTTTTCTGTACGATATCTTCCATAAGTAACTGGGTGAAAAAAATAATGTTGCATCCCTGCTTCAGCAGGGGGTTGGACTGGAAGACATCTAAGGTCCCTTCCAACTCCGTTATTCTGTTATTCAAATGTCAGTCTAGGTATTCTGTGAAATGTAATACTATTATTTTAATCTTTTTAGCTCCTTGAAAGAACTCAGGGCTCTGGAGGCATTGCATTCTGTGAATGAGATGCTAAGAAAATAGCATATTGATTAATGAACATATCAGTTCTTTAAGAAGTGAATAATATAATGCTAGGGACCAAAATTGTGGTGATCTTTTTTGGTACAGAATCAGAGCAAACAACTTTTAAAAATATTAGATGAAGCCTTAAGTAAATGTTGACATCATACATTGTTTCTTTGTCTGACTACAGTGCCATTTCCTTTGGGAAAATTAAAGTGTAATTGACCATCTTCCCTACCATTGGTGGAATAATGGCTTCTCATGATATATCACTTCATCATACCATCCAAGAGGATAAGGCATGTGGAAAATGTAGAAAAAGTGGAAGCTCAAATGATTCTCCAGGTAGGCTTAGTAAGAGCAGCAAAACCAGTAAAGACAATAACTGTAGCAAAAGTTCCAGCTGGTCTGGAAGTGCTCAACTTGACTGTTCCAATGACTTTTGTGATCATGCTTCAAGAACGTCTGTCAATGGCAGCAATAACAGCACTTGTTGCAAAGAGAACAACTGTGGAACTTCTCAGAACTATTATTGTGAATATTTTCCCTCAAATTCCTCTGAAACCTCCATACGTGAAGAGGGAGGAAGCTTCATCATCCCATTGCTCCAGCAGCCAGAACTTACCAGAGAAGAAAAAGGAAAGTCATCTCCAGGCAAAAGGTAAGAAGGCCATTGGTCATACAGAACACTACTGCATTCATTATGTTTGGGAGATTCAACCAAACTAATGGCAACTAAGCCTTTGCTGAAAAAGAAGCAGTTGTGCTATTACTGCACTTTTGCTGAGCTACTCTGACATAGCTATACTGTAGAAAGTATACTATATTTTTGGAAGTCACACGAATGTTGTTAAAAATATTTAAACTGTATTGCTTTGAACGCTCTCGGTCAGTAATTCTTCCCTCTTATAGGGGTTGTGTTGATGGGTGCAATTCACCAGTTATTGGTGACAGGAATAGTTCACCATTGTCGTGGTCATACTGATGTCAGGGTCTCATGAGTTCAATAAATAAACTAAGGGACTAGGAATAGGGTCCAGAAAAAAAGGACTTTGCAGCTTTGAATGGTCACTCTTCCATTCTTTTTGAGTCCATTACTTTCACTATTTTATCGTCATTCAGACATGGTGTCTGTCTAGGCTGTTTTGTATAGTGGTTAGGGTGCTGGCCTAGCAATCATGCTTTAGGAATGACTGGCTGAGGAATTCTAGGAGTTGAAGTCCATGCATCTTAAACTTGTCTAAACACTGTCTTAGCATAGTATGTGAACATAGCAGTTATGCCTTACAAAAGATTACATTATGAGAGTTCAGGTATGATTTTTCACAATAGGTTGATCAACAAATAGTTGAATCAGAGATTGACTCAATAAATTATATAAAAGGAAGTGAATCCATGCAATGAATACATATTTCAGCATTTGGTTTGGAGACTTATGTAAAATTATGTAATAATTACTTTGCTCGATCTTATATTTCATCTTGATATTTTTTTAATGTAGGAGGTAAAACATTGCCTAAAAAGAAACCTCAGCAGAAGACCACATTTACGACTAACCATGCTATCAATGCTTAGGAGAAAAATAGCATAGTTGCCGTCTATTGTCACAACAGACCACAACATTAAAGAATTGAAAAATAAAGTGGCTGTTCTGCGGAATAAATTGGAGACATTTACTATTGAAAATAAAATCTTGAAGCGTCTTCAGTCTCAACATTTAAAAGCAATCAATATGAAAATGCAGAGATTAACCTGCCTGATCTTTTGGCCAAGCAGTCTAATGAAGTGCTGATTCAGAGAGCACTTCTAAGGACTCTCAGGCAGAAGAGCGCAGGGCTTCCAAGAAGCTGAGAGAAGTTCAAGCAGAACTTTTAAAAACAATGGACGCCTTGCAGGCATTGCAGAAACTTTCTGAAGACAAGAAACTTGGAGAGAGAGGAGAACTTAAGCGTAAATTAACATCAGTTACCCAAAAATTGGATGCCAGTGATAAGAGAATCCAAGTAGCGTGCAACTTACATTGCTTAGAACAACATAGCAAGGCTATGTGAGACCCCTGTAAAGAAATGCTTTAAACTGACTTGCTTCAGCATGCAGTAGGGACCATTTCCTACAGGCACCATCCTCAAGTCACCAAGATTCCTTTGATATTGAAATTAACAGAAAACCTGCTCAAGCGGGAACATCAATTTTGCACATACAAAATTTAGAAACACAAACAGCTTCCTCAAAGTTCTATTTTACAAGGAAATCTATTAATATTCTGATTCTTGTATTGTTATCCAGCAATTAGAGACATAGATGTGCTGCATTTGGTTTCCCACTTCAGTTCTGTGGGAGTTTGTTATTTGCTGGAAGAGATAATAATTTCAAATGTCTTTGGTAGAATACTATTTCCCAAGCTTTACCTATAAAACATAATAGTGATAGGCAATAACCAATCTATGTTTAATTTCCTGACACAGTCTAGCTTGTCCAGCTGGGAACTGAATGACTTTTTAAGGTCCCCATCCCTTACGTGAACTTGAGAGATCATATCAGTCTAATCAGATAACCCAAGCAGAGACTTCTTGATCAAGCAGAGACTTCTTGATCAAGCAGCACTTTATTTGATCAAATTAAGCAGCTGGGTGGCCAATAATCTGGAACACTGGCAGAGTTAAGTCCAGAAGTGCCACACCTTAGAAAGTTGGTAGCATTGCTTTATAAACTTAGTTAACCAATGAAAATCAGACAACAGAGCCTTTAATAAAGAAGACATCAATCATTCCTTAGCTTCAACGACTTGATTTCCATTTGTAAATTTGTGGTGATTGAGTGAGCTTCAATCGTCTTTTTCTTTGCAACTGCTAACTGATGACTAAAAGAAATGATGATTAAGAATAAAAAGATCATTAAGCAATACTTGGTTGTTAAGCAAGTCAATGAATTCTTAGGGGCATTTTGTTTTTGTTTTTTGCCAGAAACCACCCAAAAAGTCTGGTTACTAAAAAAAAATACGTCAATTGCCTATAAAGAGAATCATTTGACAGTGGGGTGGTGCTATGGTAACTCTGAATGCAAAGCAACTGTTTGTTAAGCGAGAAATATGTCAGCCTAAAGCGAAGCCACCAGAACTAACAGTGATGAACGCATGCAAGCAAGGTGGAGAAAAGCCAGCAAAAAGAACCAAGGCAAGAAGGAAAGAAAAGAACAAAAGTTTGGCCTGAGCACATAGCAAGCCCCTCCCCACGTCTAGCAACCAAGGAGTTGGGTGTGCATGGGAAGTCCCTCCCACGAACACTCTGGGGGATCAACAGGGATGCTGAAGTCTGCCCAGCCTTTGGTGTTGCTTTGGGATCCCAGACTTGGTGGCTTCTGTCCCTCAGGCTAGTGCCTGGCAGCCTAGTTGTGGACATTGGGTAAGTTGTGGATGACTGTGTTTGTGTGTGTAAGAACAAATAGATGTACTTCATAATCAGTAAAAGTCTGCTGTTATTTTAAATTCACTGGGTCTCTGTGTGTTTTAAAGAGCCGTTTGTGTCTCAGTGTTCAGTTGAAATTGGTTTGCGTGTGGCAATCTTCCGTGGCTACGAGGGTTCCTACTTGTTTTCACTGACCAACTGAAGTGATCTTCCTGCCTTAGGTGACCTTGCTGGAAATAGAGACTCTTGGGGTTTTTCACCTATTCCCCCCCCCCCCAGGAACAGCCTTTCTACTACCACATGCCTTCTTCCTAGAGTAGACAGAGGGTGACTAGCCCCACATCCCCTAGTTTGATTCTCTGCCAAAGTCTGATGGCTTATTCACCAAATCAAACTGGTTATTCGCATTAATAACGAATAAAATGCAATAAAAGTGATACAAAGTAAAATGAAGCAAAGGATGCTGACAGATAAGTCTGCAATTGATTTGGAAGGGATGCTATTAATGGAGATTGAAAGACACTTTATCACTTACATGGTAAAAGGTAACATGCACTTATAGATATATGTTTTTTTCTGGATGTTTTAGGAATTGAAAGCCAACAGAGATGAGGAAAAATAAAGTAATATGGATAATATTTGAACCTGAAACATGAGTTTATCTCCCTGAAATATTACCAGTGCACAACATTTTAAACAGGACATTCATGGGTAAAAACCATAAGTGACTATAAATATTGAACCGTAAAAATCACAAGACATACCTTTTGCTTAAGGATTCAAACACAGTCGTATAATGCTTTTTTATGATTGCTCTGTGTTACTGTGAATAATATCTACTCAGAAGAAATACAGAATTTGGCATGTTTCTTGGTCTGTTTATTTAAACTGAAGGTGCCAGTTTAAATAATTTGTAACACTATATAGAATAATGTGCTTTTGTCACTGTTGTTTTCTCTAACAAATAATGCATATTCATAAATAATTACTGGTGAAATAATATTTTTTGCAGAATTACAAAATGGAGAGATCTGCTCCAGGGGAGAAAAAAAAATATCCAGTTTGAAAATATACAAAGACAGAAGAACAGGAGAAAAGGCAGGGGTTGGAGTTACTGAAAGAAGACTTTGATAAATTAAAGACAGAACCATCATTTCTTCCTATATATCAGGTGGCGCAGCAGTTAGAGTGCAGTACTGCAGGCCACTTTAGCTGACTGTGTTCAGCAGGTCAGCAGTTCCAATCTCACTGGCTCAAGGTTGACTCAGCCTTCCATCCTTCCGAGGTAGGTAAAATGAGGACCCAGATGGTTGGGGGCAATGTAAATATATATATACATTGCTTACTGGTGTACACCGCTTAGAGAGTGCTTGCACTTAAAGCGGTATATAAGTCTCATAAATAAATAAATAAATAATGTTTAGCCAAAAGAAAACAATTTTGACAATGTTAAAGTTGACAAACATGAAAACAAGAAGATAAAGAGGCAAAAAAAGCTGTTTGTGACAAATTAATAATAGGAATACAAAGGTAAAGATCAGGGGTGTCAAACTCAATTTCATTAAGGGCCGCATCAGCATTGCGGTTGCCCTCGGAGCAGGGGTGTGTGGGACAGGGTGGGTGCGGCCTACTGGGTGGGCGTGGATGGAATGGGTGTGGCCTACTGGGTGGACGTGGCCAGCTTCACATCATTCACGTCAAGGGTGCCTGTGGGGGCCTGGGCAAGAGTGGGACAGTCTCTGGCAGAAGGGGGTGGGACCAGGTCAAGTGCCAAGGCATGGTCCACTGGAGGAGCCTCACTGTTCCTCTCACGCCATGTGGGGGGGGGGCTGGATGGTGGCATGTGCTGCCCAGACCCCTGGGCAGCAGAGGTCAAATGCCCTGCCTGTGCCTCGAGCACCTGCGGCGCCAAGCCCAGCCCCACTTCCCCAAGGGGGCGCCCAGCTGCACTTACCTTCTCAAGGCTGCTACTGCTGTACTCTCCTTAGCCAAGTTGCTCGTGATGGGTATGGGGGGAAAGTCAGAGGGAAGTCCATTCCCTCCCCATGGGGGGGATCCGGCTTTGTATCCAAAGCTTCCTTAGCAATAGGATAGGCCAGGAGGAGGGGGCAAGATAGGCCAGGAGGAGGGGGCAAGGGAAAGGGCAGCGGGACTAAGGCAAGACTTCCCTCAGACCCTCCCTCTCCTTTCCTTCTTCCTAAGTATAGAGTGGTGGTGAAAATATTTGAGATGGGGGGGGGAGAAAAACAGGCAAGAAACGCAGCTGGGGAGATGTCACCCTCAAATCCAAAAAGCGCGATGCCGCCCAGCCTGCCTGGTCTCAGCAGGCAGTGGGGCGCTTTCCTCAGCGCCAAGAGGTTGAGCCGGGAGGTGCCAAGCTCACCAGCTTTGCATCTTGCTCTTTGCTGAAACTGGGCAGGCTGGGAGCTAGGCAGCATTGCACTTCTCATCAGATTCGTGCCAACCAGCTCAGCTCTTGGCGCTGTGAGGAGTGTGCCAACCAACTCAGCTCTTGCCACTGTGAGGAGAGCACTCTGCGGCCTGTCGAAACTGGGCAGGCTGGGAGCTGGGCGGCCTTGCACTTCTTTTTGGATTTGTGCTGCCCGGCTCAGCCTCCTAGCGCTTTGAGTAGAGCGCCCCGCTGCCTGCCAAAACCCCTCCCCCGGAGCCCATCAAGCTGGATATGTGAAATAGGTGAGGGCCATTTGCTGGCCACTTCCAAGCGATGGTGCATTCTTCATTCCTCACAAAGGGTGACACCTCCCCAGCATGCACCCAGGGGGTGGGGCTGACCCGGCAGGGGCTGGTTCCTTGCTGTTTCCAGATGGCCTTGTGGAACTAAGACTGAATAAGTTTCAGCATAGATGGCCACCACAAAATTCTACATTGGCTCTCAGCTGGCCTGGGTCAGGGCCGTTCCCTCACTGTTTCCAGGATGGCTTCGCGGGCCATATGAAACCACTTTACAGGCCGCATCTGGCCCCTGGGCCTTGTATTTGACATGTCTGGTATAGATCATCTACGTTTAAAAAATAGTATGTATTTTCAGAGGCCATTGATAATTTACATCAGGGATATTCTTCAACAGGTGAACCCAAAGATGCCATGCAATGGAAGACCAAGGAACCGGTAACAGGCTGAAATAGCCCACTTTTTAGGAGATTCTGTCACCAATTATGCGCCCTAATTTGCCAGATTTCTCAAGGAAAGACAAAAAGACAACCCTTCAACTCCTGGTGAAGAAAACACTCCCAAGATATTGCTGGAAAAGAAAAGGCTCCTTTTGGAAAAACTGATAGATTTCAGATAGTATGAGAACTAGGACATATTAGATAGTAGGTAGTGGATATTAGTATTAGAACTAGGGCATATTAGAGTGTAGATAGTGGATAGTATTAGAACTAGGAAATATTAGATAGTAGATATTAGCATTAGAACTAAGTGATATTAGATAGTAGATATTAGTATGAGAACTAGGAGGTATTAATAGTTTCTGTAATTACTATTGTAATAAACATCACAAAAACTTTTGTGAACATTTTGCACATTTTTTATAAAATATATATTAAAGGAATGTTGAAAAAGATGTTTTATTACTTATGCTTATCAATTTCTACCTCTAAATAAGATTTCCTTGAAGAGTCCTTCTTTCCTACTTGAAACGAATAAAGAATATTTCTTTGCAGCTTATATTCAGTGATGTTGTTTCACCATATGAGGGAGCAAAGGACTGTAATCTAATTATATTTACTGGACCAATTGGAATTAATGTTATAAACTTTTAATTTTTAAATTTTAGTTATGTTTTGGGATAATGATTACACATAAGAGAACTGATAGAACTGAAAGAAGATTATCAGGAGAAGCTGACTGTTCAAGAGCTTTTTTGGATGACTATACAGCAAAAACTCATGAAGTAATTCAGGCATTGCGAATAAAGCTTGAGCTGCATTCTAACCACTGAGCCATGGTGGCACAGTGGTTAGAATGCAGTAACAAGGCTAACTCTGTCCACAGCCAGGAGTTCAATCCTAACAGGCCTCAAGGTTGCCTAAGCCTTCTGAAGTCAGTAATAGAAGAACCCAGATTGTTGGTGGCAACATACTAAATATACTAAACCAGAGGTCCCCAACCTTTTGGGCACCAAGGACCAGTTCCTTGGAGAGAGGTTTTTCCATGGACTAGAGGGTGCATGGTTTTGTGTGCTGCCTGCATCTTGCGGATGGGACTTTGTGCGAACTGGTTGCTGGCATGCTGTGGCCCGGTACTGGCCCAAGAAGCGGGAGTTGGGGACACCTGTTAAACCGATTAGAGAGGACTGTAAAGTACTATATAGCAGTACATAGGTCTAAGTGCTATTGCTAAACCTTGCACAAAGGAACTCCATGAGGAGATACAACTCTTAACTGGAGATATTAAACAGATAAAGGATAGAGTGGAACAAATGAAAGTTTAGAAAATGAAAATTGGGAGCATCTGAAGCCCAGAGTTTTATGTTTTCACCTATAAAATAAAGGAATAAATAAACTGGGTGGCACAGAGCCAACCAGGTAGGCGGCAAAATTTAACCTCGCTGATTTACATAGTGGATCATAATCACTATGGTATTAATTTTGCATTTCCTGTGGTCTTATATATTTATGAAAGTTTCTATGGCTGTTGAACTCACTCTAAGCTGCCTAGAAGTTGCCTATTGAGTCAACTTCCACTATGCAACAACTGTCCTCTTGAAAGAAAACCAAGAGGGAAAGGAAGCAGGGGAATAAGGTAGCGATTTCCTTGACTACTGCTGTCCATACTCATTCTTTCTTAGGGCAACATGCCATCATCTTCTCTTGTAACAATATTGTTGGTTTTCAAACTTATTGATGTTATCCTAAAACCATGTTGGGACCTAAAGAAACTATAAATAACAGTAATAAAAGGAAGAGGTGGTGATGAATCATTATTTGCTAATCAAAGTATGAAACCATTGTTTGTTTGTTTCAGATAGTCTAATTTAATTGGGAAATCTAGCCAAACAGATCAGAGTGGAACATTCAAAGGGAAAGGGAACTTGTATGAGCCTGATTATAACGGAATGAAATATAATAATGTATAAATTCATATTTATTGTGTTAACTGAGAACAGGCAGTATGCACACATTTAAACCTTCCCCAAATTAAGCGCATCATCTGTATGACTACACCAGCGGTTCTCAACCTGTGGGTCGTGACCCCATTTGGGGTTGAATGACCATTTCATGGGGGTCGCCAAACAACGCAGTCCGCCATTTTTCCCCCTTTTCCTTAGCTGTGCTACTCCCTCTTATTGGCTTTTGAAAGAGTCACAGGTGGCATGCAGAGCTGTTCCTGCTTCCTTCCTCTTTGCGCATGCGCAGCTTTTTTCTATATCAGCGGTTCTCAACCTGTGGGTTGTGACCCCATTTGGGGTCGAATGACCATTTCACAGGGGTCACCTAAGACCATTGGAAAACACATATTTCCGATGGTCTTAGGAACCAAGACACTGCTCCTCTATCCGTCTCCAAGCAAGGGGAGCAGGAGGCAGAGGAAAGCCTGAGCAGGGAAGGATCTGGCCCAGCGAGGGTGGAGCCGCGTTCGGGCGCTGCTTCTGGAGCTCATGGATGCTGGCCTGGCTCTGGCGTGCTTCAGGGTAGAGGCTGTTTGCTGTGTTGCCGCTGGGAGTCTTAGCTGGCTAAAGCACCTTTCAGAGAAAGAGCCCTGCTTTCCCCTGCAGGGTGACCCAGCCAGCAGCGTCCTACTCTCATCGTTTCAGGGAGGAGGGAGAGGAAGAAGAAGAAGAAGGCATCTGCCCAGCAGGCTGCTACCTCTGCCTCCTCGCGACGGAGAAGTGTTTTGAGGCAGATGGCAGGTTATAAAACTGACGCTCGGCTCAAAGGCGGGATGGGTGGCCCTACGAAGCCACTGCTCCTCCGTGGGCGGAAGGATAGCTGGACGGCTAGGAAAGTTCCCCGACTCTTCTGCTGTGGAGTAAGAAAACCGAGCTTTGAGATCTCGCGAGCAGGCGCGCAGACGCGACTGAGCTTGCAACAAGCCCGGCAAGCTTTACATTGAGGCAGGCGGTTTATAAAAGGAAGGAGCAGTCTCCTCATGCTCTGGAGTGGGGGAGAGATGGTGGTATGTTTGTTCACGTCCCTGAAAAAGCTTCTCGGGCCATCTCCATTGCTAAAAGATAACACCCTTGCTTTCCTATGATGCCGAAGGTGTCCTACGTTAGGAAAAAAACAAAACACAATCCCCATGCAAAAACAGTCCACCCATGATAATGCAAAACCTAATGAAGAGCGTAGCTGTTTTTATTACTCTTATCACAACTCTGAGAAGTAAGTTGATGGCAGTTGCTGCACAGGAGTTAACTGAGCTCCCAGATAGCCCATCCTCACACAATTGGAAGTTTGCATTAGATCCCCTAAATTCCCAGTCATAGATCACACTAATGATAAATGTGGGAGCTTTGTTCCTACTTATGTGGTGGGCATAAAAGTATAGTAGCTTTTTCCTCTTTTCCCACGGCAGCTGATTCCCCCCTCCTCTGAGATCCCTGCAGCCCTCCTCAAGACAGCACATACTTTTTGATTCCTGCTGCTCGATCCCTCCCCCCCCCTTGATGGCTTCCTACTTGTGGGATGCGGGGGAAGGGAGCGCCATTTCACTACAGGTGGGAGAAGGAAAACTGGTCCAGGCAGTGAAAAGGGAAGAGATCAAGGGGGGGGGGGCTTTGGAGATGAAAGCTGCTTTGGGTGGATGTTTTGGTCTGCAGCATGTGTTTCCCTTTCTCCTCCTGCCTGCTCTGTTTCCTAGTGTGCCTCTGGAAAGTGTGTGCCTCTGGAAAGCCGGGAAGGGGGGGGGGCAAAATGAATCTGCTCCTAGTGTGGAATCAAGAAGCTCCAAGGGGCCTTTTCTTGCAGTTGCTGCAGTAATGCTCCCCATTCTTCCTGCCCTGGCTGCTGCACCAAAAGCAGTTGATTGTTGCTCAGTGGAACCAGCAGTGGGGTGGGAGGAAGGAATGGATTTCCCTTCTGCTGCCTCTGCCTCAGTGGACCTCCTTCCAAAAATCTCTAAGATTCTGGCAGGCACAGCTCCAGAATTGAGCTATGCTGGCTCAAGAATTCTGGGAGTTGAAGTCCACAAGTCATAAAAGAGCCAAGGTTTTCCTTCTGCCTTCTTCAGAGAGAGAAGCTCTGAAGGTCATTAGGATCAATTGTCCTGAAAGGACAGGGGTCCTCTTCCACACACTCAGTGAATTTCAGGTGGAGGTAGAAAAATGGACAGTGGCTAAGGCTGAAGAGGCAAATTGTGTGGGCCACATCACACACATGGACAACAAATGTCTACAAGTATAGCTCCCCTTGAGTATCACCTCAACTAATCCTTATTTTCTCCCACCCCATAAGCATTCCCCCCCCCCCATACACAATCATATTAATTTTTCACAGGTCATGCTTAACCTAATCAGGCAACTTCAAGGGCTCATTTAAAGAAGAGAAAAGGTCAGGTCTCCCTTCAGAGCCATAGGTGGAGCACCCATGCTTCAAAATTTTATTTATTTGTAATTAGAAATAAATATTTCACAATATATAATTACATATTGTTTTTGTATTAATCACTATGCTTTAATTATGTTCAATTTGTAACAATGAAAATACATCCTGCATATCAGATATTTACATTACAATTAATAACAGTAGCAAAATTACAGTTATGAAATAGCAACGGAAATAATTTTATGATTGGGGGTCACCACAACATGAGGAACTGTATTAAAGGGTCATGGCATTAGGAAGGTTGAGAACCATTGTTCTAGACCTTTTTAATTTGGGATTGTTGAAGGAAAAGTCTTCATCATGGTTCAGTCCAAGCCGGGAATAAACAACATGGTGACTGCTTTAGAAAGAAGGTTCCAATTTATTGAAGAGACGAGCCAGACAGAAAGATGGTTCTGGAAGAAAAGAGAGAGAGCACATGTAGGGAGTGGGGTTTTATACCCTCTGGGGCTCTTGAAGTTGTTTCCTCTTCCTGTTTGAGGCTTTGTATTTCCTGTATTATGTATTTTGACCCGAGTCTGAGTATGCCCCTTTGGCATCTGTGGGTTAATCCTATGATGTCCTTTTCTTAGAGTTTGGGTGGGGTATGTAGATTTTAGGTTTGTCTTCTTAATCTTCTAGCTTCAATCTTCCTGAATGGTTTACATCTGCATTTCTACAGAGCTGGTTTCTACTTGGGGGAGGGAGACTTGGGGATATTAAGAAGAAAAACTGGGCATGTTTTTCTGCCTCTTCAAGATTCTTTGAGGAAATATATTTTTCTGCCCTTTTAATATTTCCTTCTCTGGGAGGCTGATTTCCCACGGGATATAAGTCTGGCTGTGGAAATGAAACTGCCTTGTTCCCTCATGCCATGGTGCCTCTATACAAATGAGTTAAAAATCATGTATTTTGAAGCAAAAAGTGTTAATATGAGGCAAACTTATATATTCATTAGAGCTATATATAGCTCAAGATCACATTATTTCTTCCTCCAAATGAGCCACACTTAATAAAGACAGTGCATATAGCCATGTTTCACCCCTTTGTCTATCTATGTATCTTGAATAAAATATAGGAGTGGTTGTGGTTTATCACTCCTGTGATAGCCATAACAATGTAGAAGTGTGGGAACTCAAGGACTGTTCTGATAAGCTTTTCGTAGGTTGAGAGGCTGGAGAGAAACGCCCCGTTTTGTGCTAATTGGGGAATGTGATTTATGACAGTTCTTGCAGGGTGGGAATTGCAATTTGTTACTTTATATCTGGGAGGAGGGAATCTCATTCTTGGGTTCAACTATGTAAGTGCCGATACTTTGTTTCCTAATGAAATGTTCTTTAAGGAAGAAATCTTGCCTTAAGGTTCTTTTAATTGGTTTTATCTATCAGAACCATGATAGAGCAATTGTGGGGACCACAAGGGAGGGAGGTATCTTAACAGATCAGGGGAGGTCTTGGGTGGTCTGAAGCAGGTGCCCTGTCCCCATCACTAGCCCCCCCCATGGTCTTCCCCACCCTGAGATACCTCATGTGCATTTAACGAGCCACACATTCAATTAGTGAATGCGTGGGCAAAAGCAGGGAGTGATGGCATTCAAGGTACGAATCCTCGAGTTACGAATAGCATAGGTAGGCTTCATTACATTCATAACTCGAGGGTTACCTGTACACTATTAAAGCTCTTGTTTCCGTGTAAAATTTAAGTGGGCAAAAGAATGCATTGTAGGGCAATAATTTTTGATCCAAGATACCTGAAATAGGTTTACTTACAATCAAAAATCCGGAACCTATGGCTTCTGTGGAATTGAATTGGGTAAATTTTATGAAGCATTTTATGACATAAAATCATCATAAGACATCTTAGGACATAATGCAACATGTCACAAAATATTTCCTGTCGTCAACTGCTGATCTTTGACCATGCTTTACAGTTCAAAATGCCAATTTTCAAGGCAGATACATCTCTGAATGTCTCCCTGAATTTTTAAGAATTCTTCGAGTGAAGACAGTACATTAAAAGTTCTGTTATTGTTGAAGGCATTGAGGAACCTGGTAAGGTGATATTTCTGAAACAATGACTCAATGGGTTGTGGTTCTCTGATATTAATTAAAATGCTGAATAGGACAAGGGAGTTCTAGGTTCAAGTCCACTTTCATTCACAATATCTTAGGAAACTTTGCTTTAGTGACTATCAATCAAATAACCTGGAGTTTCTATTGTAAAGCAATATTGGAGAGAATATATAAGTCTAGGAGAAAAAGTGAGATATTAATCTAACAAATAAAATAAAGTGTTTATTTATTTATGTTTTCCTAACTTGGATTATAATTTAAATCTATGTTAATATATATTGGGAGAGTTTAGAGAGATACTTTATTAGACAAAGTAAAATGAAACAAAGGATTATGACAATAGATAAGTCTGCAATTGATGTGGAAAGGAGGCTATTAACGGAGATTTAATGACATGTTATCACTTACACAGGTAAAAGGTAACATGCACTTATATATACTTTTTTCTGTGACATTTTAGGAATTGAAAGACAATATAGATGCAGAATAATTATGTAAAATGAATAAAAAGATTGAACATGAAACAAGAGTTCATCTCCCTGAAATATTACCAATGCACAGCATTTCAAATAGGACATTCATGGTTAAAAACCATAAATTATTATAAATATTGAACCCTAAAAATCATAAGGTATACCTTTTGTTTAAGGATTCAAACATAGAGGTATAATGCTTTATTTTATAACTGCTCTGTTACTGTGAACAATGTCTACTCTTCAGAAGAAATACAGAATTTGGCATGTTTCTTGGACCGTTTATTTAAACTGAAGGTGTCATTTTAAGTAATACTAGTCAGAATAATGTTCTTTTGTTACTGTTGTTTAGTCTAACAAATAATGCATATTCCTAAATAGTTAATGTCGAAATAACAGTTACAAAGTGAAGATATCTGCCCAAAGGTAGAAAAAAATATCCAATATGAAAATATAAAAAGGAAGAACAGGAGAGAAAGGCAATGGCTGAACTTATTGAAAGAAAAGTTTGATAAATTAAAGACAGAACCATCATTTCTTCCTACACATCATGTTCAGTCAAAAGAAAACAATTTGGAAGATGTTGCAGTTGACAAACATGAAAACAAAGAAGATAAAGAGGCAAAAGAAGCCGTTTGTGACAAATTAATAACAGTAATACGAAGTCATAGAACACCATCTACATGTAAAAAAATATGTATTTTCAGAGGCCATTGAAAATTTGCATCACGGATATTTTCCACAGGTCCCTTAGGCAACCCAAAGATAGCATGCAGTAGAAGACTGAAGAAATGGAAACAGGGTGAAATAGCTGATTTTATAGGTGATTCAATCACTAATTATGAGCCCCCATTTGTCAAATTTTCCAAAGATGGTCAAAAAGACAGCCCTTCAACTGCTGGTGAAGAAAACAGTCTGAACATACCTCCAGAAAAGAAAAGGCTTCTTTTGGAAAAACTGTTTGATCCAAACCACATTTTAAATAGCAATGGTCGAAATACTAATTTAAGCATGGCGTGTAAGGAAAAAAAAAACTTTGCAGAGTAAAAAACTCTATGATGAGTTTTGATACACAAATGATAGCTTGCAGTGATGATTCCAGTCAAACCCCTAAACATGTTTTTTTCAGAAAATTGTCTTCTTTGACAATTGTTTTTTTTTTACCCCATATCCAGTATTTTTAACTACTGATAGTAGATATGAGTGTAAATATTAGAAGTACTGTGTTTCCTTAAAAGTAAGACCTAGTCTTACTTTCTTTTGGGCTCTGAAGTAAGCACTAGGATTTACTTTCGGGGAGGGCTTACTTTTTGCCGGTACTAGTAGGTAGTGAGCGCGCGGGGGTGGGGTGGGGCCTGTTCATGGGGTGGAGAAGCAACACGGCGGCAAGAGCGTGGTGGTGGACCAGGTATGGTACTGGTGCAGGTGGGACATCTGTCCTTCCCATGCCAGGCCAGCCCCTGCAGCCCCAGAGCGGCCATTCTGGGCAGCGACAGGAAGGGCGCCGAGGTGGAGGAACCGGTATACCAGCACATGGGTCAGATTCCTCTGTCCCCCATCAGCTTTGCTTCATCGCAGAGGCACTGGCAGATCCCCACCCTTACCTTGTGTCTTATATTAAGCCCACCCCCAAAAATCAGCTGGGGCTTACTTTCCAGGGTGGGTTTACTTTCAGGGAAACACGGTAATAGATATTACATACTAGATATTAGTATTTAGAATTAGAATATGTTAGTAGATATTAGATAGTATTAGAATTAGTAATTATTAGATAGAACCATGTGATAGTACATATTAGCATTAGAATTAGTAGATATTAATAGATTTTAGATACTTAGAACAAATATAGCATCACACACAGTAATATTTCATATTCAGCATATATCCTATACATCATCTAACAATGAAAGGAAATAACTATATATCAAGCGAAAGTCATTGATTGTGGTAGAAGTTATATTTCAATAATTGAATATTAAACTATGAAGTGAACAAGAATTAAGGAGTTGCACGTTTTCAAATATTGTAACTTCCATAAGAGTGAAGAAAATTTTAAATAGTTTTTTTTTTATTTTATTTTAAAAGCTGCATCCTTCTAGTCTTTCACATTCTTGAGATTTATCTCCTATCGTAGCAGAATACTGAAAAAATGACAGGAGTTCAAATATTGCTGAAAGTGAGACATGTTTCCTTCTCAATTGAATGGGTATAACATAATGGCAACAACTTTGTTGCAAACCACCAACCAACATGTAATTCCGACACCACCTAAAAAAGATTAAAAGGTATGCTGTAAATATCAAGTATCAGTAGCTCATGCATAGCAAAACTGAGTAAGTAGTTAAATCTGCCCTTGAGAGTTTAGGAAAAAAGAGTAATTATCAGGTGATTACACAGTACAAGTAAAATATAAAATCTGGAAATTTTATGTACATTGGCTATTGCCCAGAATTATCTGCTTTACTGTAATTTTCATTAGAATGAATGGAAATTGCTCAACAAACTGCTTTTAGAACATTAACTTTTCATTTTAAAGAAATATATAACTAGCTCCCAATGAGAAATATTCAGATGCATTAAGGAATAAACCAAATATGATTAATAGGTGAAATACACTACTAATCTTAAATATTTAGCCATAATTATGGCTCTTTAATATGCAAGTTTCCCTTAAATATATGAACTATGGTAGCTTTATCTTGTAGGCATGCTGTTAGATGCAGACAACTGTCCTGGAATCAAAACACAGATTTATTTAGCCCTATATTGTTTATAATAATAGGCAAATGATCATTACATTTGAAACATTTCCAGCTCTATGAAAAATTAATACTGAAAAAATTGTTAACCTGTATGCTTTTATTTGTTAAATATATGCTTTTATTTGTTAAATATATATAGGATCCAGATACAGAGATCTAGATTATGGGGTAAAGTTTCTGAAGAAACTCAAATAGAGTAATGTATTTAAAATCAAGAAAGAAAGAAGTATTAGATTCATACAAAAGAGCAGAAAGTATTTTATATGCAATAGCCTTACCTGCCACTCCTGTTGGAAAAGCTACTAAGCGTTCCAAAGGGGCTAGCCATTTGCTTGGGAGCACAGTAACTGGTTCAGAGTAATATTTCCAAATTAATGATATCATTAAGGCACCCTGAAATAAAAAAGTTATTATTCAGATATGTGTGAAAGGTACAAAGCTGTTACATTTTTTTACTATAGTAACTATATGTTTCTGAAGCCTACTGTTATATAACAATACTATTTTGTGAAAATGATATTTGCATGAATCCAGGTCCCTCTATTTCAGACATGTCAAACTCGCGACATCACATGACGTCGCGAGACATATTGGGACTATTTTGCCATTGCTGGCAATGGGGTGGGCGCGGCTCCTGTATGATGAATCCGGTCTGCGGGCCGGCAGTTTGACACCCCTGCTCTATTTCATATGATACTTTTATTTCAAAAAATATCAGAAACACTATTATTTTTTGCCTCACTCTTGATCTTGCCCTGCTTTGCAAGAAAAGGGACTGAGGCATTCTTCCCCAGCCACATTACTAAACCCAACAGCATATGATTAATTGCTTAAAAGAGAGGCAGGAAAAAGGAAAAATCATATGGCTTAATTCACAAATCTGTCTGATCTGATTGTAAATTGCAATTATTTCAGACAAATGAATGATTCTTTGTATGAAACAGTACCATTCATACACAAAGCTAACACTAACGGCATATGGAAAAAAAGTTCTAATCTTATTTTCTATGTAGTTATTTTTAATTACTAATTAATAATTTTAAGCTACTATATATAGAATTTATTTTTACAACATGTATCTTTAGTGTATATAATTCAAATTTACTTACTTGCAAAATGTAGAACACAATATTTATTACCCACTTTATTTTGGCTAGTTGAGCAGTTCGCGTTTTCACTGTTAATAGAAAATAATAATAATGTGTGATTTATATAAACAGAAGTAATATTTTTATGGCAGATTTTATTTCATTCCCATTTACTTGTTTTTACTTATTTGTATCTATTTTATCTATTTCACTTTTTTTCAAACAATCAAAACAGAAATTTTAAAAAGAACATAGAACACTGTGTGTGTGTATGTGGGGGGGTACGCACAGGCACACACATACACATGTATAGGTAGTCCTTGACTTCAACTATTTGTTAGTGACTGTTCAAAGTTACAACAGCATTGAAAATGGTGACTTATGACCATTTTTCACGCTTACAACTGTTGTAGTACTTCCCATGTTCATGTGATCAAAATTTGGATGCTTGGAAAGTGACTCATATTTATGACAGCTACATGTCCGGGGGCCATGTGATCACTTTTAGCAACCTTCTGATAAGCAAAGTCAATGGGGAAGCCAGATTCACTTAACAACCATGTTACTAACTTAACAGCAGCAATGATTCAATTAACAACTGTGGAAAGAAAGGTCATAAAATGGGGCAAAACTCACTTAACTATCTTGCTTACCAACATAAATTTTAGGCTGAATGGTGGCTGTAAGGCAAGGACTACCTGTATAAATACATATACTATACACACACAAACACACACAGCCCTCTATACCTATATCAGGGGTGTCAAACCCAATATAGGCCTAACCTATATGCATATATATATATATATTGAATATTGGAATTCCAGGTATGGACATTTAAAGTCAATCAGATAAAAATAAAGAGCTCTGGGATGTAAGATAAAAGGCTTTTTTATTAATTGCTGAGCTTTCGTTAACAACCTGTTAATATCATCAGAGCAAAGGGCTAAATGAGAAGGGGGAGTATGTGCGTAAATTTACATAACAGTTTAATAATTTTGAATATTGGAATCCCAGGTATGAACATTTAAAGTCCATCAGATAAAAATAAAGAGCTCTGGGATGTAAGATAAAAGGCTTTTTTTATTAATTGCTGAGCTTTCGTTAACAACCTGTTAACATCATCAAAGCAAACTCCCCCTTCTCATTTAGCCCTTTGCTCTGATGATGTTGACAGGTTGTTAATGAAAGCTCAGCAATTAATAAAAAAGCCTTTTATCTTACATCCCAGAGCTCTTTATTTTTATCTGATTGACTTTATATATATATATATATATATATATATATATATATACACACACACACACACACACACACACACACACACACACACACACACACACACCAAAATCAGATTCTTTCAGAAATCTATGCTGAGTTTTGATAAACTGAAGAATGTGACACGTGAAATAAATTGAATCTTGGCACAAACATATACATATACACACAGAAACTTATAAAAAACCCTTTAAGCAATTTAATTAATTAAATAAAAATGCATTGTTTTTTAAAATAAATCTACAATTAATTTGAATTAAAAGTGCACATATAAGTTTTATTTTCTTTAAAAAGCTGAAGTGTTCACATAAGAAAATATGATGAGCCAGCATATGGCTTAATCCCCAGACAAAATGCATTTTGATATTGCCACATTTTGTTTTGTAACTAAGAAGTCATAAGGTGCTAATGTACCATGTGTCTTAAGCTTATCAGTCATTTTATTAATTTTCCTTTCTAATCGAGCATATCTGGCAAATTCATCCATCATACTAATGGTAGAAAGTTCTTGCTTCATGCTCTGAATATCAGATCGCATTTCAGATTCCTGCTCAGCATCCTTTTGTAGCAACCTAGATATCTGATAAAGAGAAAAAGAAGTCTATTTAAACAATTTCATAATTTTAAATCAGTGTCTAACATATGGTTATTACACAAAATAATCACAACATTCATAAGAAATATTCTTCTGTTCTTGGTCTGCAATGTTTGAAAAAAAATGATTTTATTTTCAGAATTAGAATTTCATCACACTTGAACTGTAAGAGTCTTCCTCCAAACTGAATCAGCTTGTCTAGTAAAATCTGGGAGCAAAGGTTGCTGAGGGCCACATTCTACCTATTGTATTTTTGGAGAGCTATTTACATGGTTCTTCAAGAAAGCACTCAAGAGCAACAGAAAATATACTATCCCAAATGTTGGTACATCAGACAGCTTGTTGTTGCTTTTCTATAGTGTTTCCTGGAAAATAAGACTTACACTGAAAATAAGTCCTACTTAAGACCCCACCCACTCCATAGCACCTGGTTGCACGAGGTAAGGCGAGGCACACGGGTAAAAATCAAGCTAGTGTGGAGATGGAGGGGTGGAACTGCCCCACGCACCCCGCACCCTCTTACCTCAGGACACCTGCAGCCAGGCCTCCTATGCACCAACACCTGCCTTACCTTGCCAGCCCACTTCTTCTGTGACTGCTTGCTGCCGCTTGCACGTGTTCCCCTGGGCTCCGTTTTGCTGGCAGAGACTTTCAGGAAAGGCATCTGCAGCCAAGAAATGATTGACACGCATGGCGCCCCCAGCCTCCATTTCTCTGTCAGAAGCCAAGGCCTCTGATGGCAAAACAGAGGCCGGGGAGTGCTGCATGTGTCAATGCAAAGCTCATTTCTCAACTGCAGAGGCCTTTCCTGAAGGCATTTGCTGTCAAAATGGAGGCTGGGGGCGACATATGCAAGCGGTGGCGAGTGGCTGCAGAAGTGGGCTGGCGAGGCAGATGTCGGGGCCTGGGAGGCTTTAATCCTATTCTGTAAAATATTTTATAAGCCCTTTGGAGCCTTTGCCTACAAACTGAAATGATAATAAATAAAAATTACAGAAGGGCAGAGTCCAAGGAAATGTCAGGAAGACAACTTTCTAACACTAAGAGAAATTCACATGTGGTTCTAATTAGGAGTCATGGATTCCCTTTTGCACTTTTTTTTAATCAAAGCTAGACAATTTAGCCTTGAGGAGTGCCTTAATTTTATTCTTATATAAGGATGGGCTCCATAGCAAAACTAGTTTCCTCAAACTACTATAGGAACATTTAAAAACTTCAAATGATTATTCAGCTTTGATACCAGCATCCACTGGAAATTTCCTTGTGAATCAATTCTATATAGTAAAAACTGTGTGCGTGTGTATAATTTTAACTGGGCAAAACAGTGCATCATAGGGAAACCATTTTTGAACCAAAGTAGCTCAAATAGGCTAGCTTACATAATGTATTCAAAACATGGAACCCATGATTCCTACAAAACTGAAATCTGGCAAATTGTTATAAACCATTTTATGACATAAAATGATCATAAACCATTTTATGACATAATACAAAGTGTCACAAACCATTTCCATTTTTAACTGTGTTATACAGATCAACAGGTTATTTTCAAGATACATCTCCAAATATCTCCCAGAATTCTAAAGAACTTTTCCAGTGAAGGCAGTACATTAGAAGCTCTGTCACTGTTGAAGGCATCTGAGGAATCTGGCAAGCAAACATCTCTGAATGAACATGTGTAGGGAGTATAACTCGCTGTATCCATGCAAGCTAGCAAATCTTGGACTTGCAGCAGGATACTAGGTTGGGAAGTGTTGCCAAGGAAAAAATAAATAAGAAGAAAATAAAATAATTTTTTTATTTCTTCTACTGAGAAATAAAAGAAGAGCGAAAAGTACATCAAATGCGGTCGCCATGGAAACCCGGTGGAGCGATGACACTTACAATGGAAGAACAGGAGGGTAGAAGGATTTTGAGGAGGTTGCATAAGAACACGGAGCTCAGGACGAGAAGCCATGCGCCACCATGCGTTGTCAAATGTTTCGCTTCTACACGTAGTTCAGTCATGTCTTGGGCTAGAGATGTGCAAAGAAAAGGGAGAAAAAGAACCGCGGTTCTCAGAAACATAATTATTCGAGCGGGCAAACACTTGAAGCGGGCGCCCACTTGTCAAAAATGCGCAAGCGCATCTTTGCGGCGCGGCGGTGCCTCACAGAAGCCGTTCAGCAATACTGCGCAGAAGCGGTGGCCATCTGTCACACTTCTACTGTGACGTGTACAAAGTGGGCAGAACCCCGGTTAGATCCGCCTAGAAGCATCCATGTCTCCGAGGTAAGACCAAATTCAAAGGGACAGTTTGCAGATGGGGCCGGCTGTTGAGGTTTATTAGCTGTCCTACAAGTCCGGCGGCCAATAGGAACGAGCGCGTCCAGTCGATAGAGGGCGCGCGCACGCCCACCCTTCTCTCAATCCGGCTGGATCTTGTTGCAGTGCCGCTGGCGCTGCTGGGATGGGGGGGGGAAGGGTGTGTGGAAATCAGTAGGCAAGAGACAGTTTGTGCGCAGCAGTGAGAATCCGGCTCCCGTAGGCTGGAGTAAGAGCTGGCAATCGTTACCGCTCCGGCTGTAAGAACAAGCGCCCACGCTGCCTGACGCTAAGGGCAAAATATAAAGCACAAGAAAAGGCGAGGGCAGCTTACTCAGCCATGCCGAAGAGAAAGGTTGGCGACGGGCGGGCGCACACAATAAAGCGCGTCCAGGACGCACAGTCTCTTCTCTAACTCATCATTACCTCATCTTGCCGTTTCTTTTATGATTGATACATTTTATTTAAAAAATAAGACTGGGAGGGCGTTGTTTTTAAATTGTAATAGTTTTATGTGGCGACTTCGGCGCGAGGCCCAGTATTTCGGTGCTCATGGAGGGAGCCAAGAGGGGGTGGGGGACGTAGCGAGTATTACTGGCCATGAGTTGGCCTCCCTTCGAAGTAGTTCGAAAGTCAGATCGTTCCGAGCGTACTCCCAGCTCCTAAATTTTGCGTGGCCTTTGGCGCAACTCGGCCCCAGCCTAGCGATCCCGATACGGCGGTGGGAAAGGGGGCGTGCGCGCGGCTCTTGGTCTGGTTTCAGTCTGTTACGCGCATGCGATGTCACCTCCCGCGGTTTTTAATACTATTTAACTCTTTCGTTACAGGTGAATCCTGCTGAAGAAGAGGTAAGTGCTGCTTGGCTGGAAGAGTAATAGAAACGGAGGGAAAGGGTTTATGTAGGCAGTACTGAGTAGGCTATTAACTTCAGGATTTTGTTCTTGTTTTGCGACAGCCGAAGAGGCGATCCGCACGATTATCGGCTGTGAGTAGAAATTTTAGTTGACTTACAACTGTAATTTGTGCAAAGAGTGAGGCATAATAAATACGTATTTTTGTTCCTTTCAGAAACCTGCCATCACCAAAGTAGAGGCAAAACCAAAAAAACCCACTTCAAAGGTAAGGATTTGGTTTTTTTGTAAGAAGTTTATTCAGTTACTTGAAATCTGCTTTGGAAACTTGGCTGATAATTTAAAAATATGCATTTTAACGATCATAATCTCTATTATAATTTACCATCTCATGTCTTAGCTTTGTAGAACTTTTCAAATTGTAAAACTATTTTCAACAGAAATGTAATACTATAGTATACAGGTTGTCCCGTCTTACAACCATTTGTTTAGTGATTGTTCAACTGAACTGAAAAAAGTGACATGATACCTATTCACACTTAGAACAGTAACCCCATGGTCACATAATCAGAATTTGGATGCTTTGCAACTGGAATGTATTTGTGCCTGTTGCACTGTCCTGGGGGTAATGTGATTACTATTTGTAACCTTCCCAGCTGGCTTCTGACAAACAAAGTCAATAGGGGAAGCCAGATTTTGCTTAACGACTACATGATTCACTTAACAACTGGCAAAAAAGGTTATAACAGGCAAAACTCACTAACAACTGCCTTGCTTAGCAATGGAAATATGGGCTCAATTTTGGTTGTAAATTGAGGACGACTTGTATGTAGCTACCGTGTTTTTCCCAAAATAAGACCTGATCTTATTTTTTTCCCTCCAAAAGAGGCACCAGGTCTTATTTTCGGGGGGTGTCTTTTCCACTCACCTCATAGTGGCGGCCCCACCCAGCTGAAGGAACAGCTTCATTCTGCAGCTAAGAATAGAGCTCCTGCCTGTATTTTGCAGTCAGAGGCCTTTCCGGAAGGCATCTGCAGCCAAGAACCAAGCTCAGTTCTCAGCTGTAGAGGCCTTCCTGAAAAGCCTCTGATTGCGAAATGCAGGCGAGGGGACCCTACAGAAGAAGTGGGCTGGTGAGGAGAGGCAGATTTTGATTCATGGGAGGCCTGGTAAGTAGGCACGGGGTGCGTGGGGCAGCTCCACCCCCACCCTAGCTTGATTTTTAGGCATATGCCTCTCCACAAAACCAGGGCTTATTTTGGGGGGTAGGGCTTATATTAATCCTACCCCCCAAAATCAAGCTAGGGCTTATTTTCGGGGTAGATCTTACTTTTGGGGAAACGTGGTAACTTACACAGAATAGCTTTATTTGGGTAAATATTGTATACTTTTTTTTTTGCCCAGTGGTTTAGAAGTAAAGTTATCGATGGTTGACAATTGCCTTTATAAATTATCTATTCTGAGTTACTATAGGTTAAGTCTGAGGAAAAGAGAGCTTCAACAAAAGGGAAAAAAGGACTGAAAGAGAAACAAACTGAAGATAATAACAAAGAAGAAATAAAGGATAACTTGCCTGCAGAAAATGGAGAAACAAAAAGTGAGGAGGTAATTCTGTCAAACCTTCATAGATACCTGGAGTTTCTTTTAGTTAATTTGTATGTTTCGAAAAATAGGCTTCACCTCAGTAGAGAGTTGTATGTAGATGCATCTTACCAGACCCTTGCAGCTTGCTGTATGAATTTATGTGAGGACACCTTAAAAATTTAGTGTCATAATACTTACTTAAGGGGTGAAAGGGCAGCAGGAAAGAGGTAGAACAGGGTTCAAAATTTGGGAGATGGCACTGGAATTCAACTTTTATTCTCGATTCAAAAAAATGGGGGCTTGTTCCAGGTTTTGGTAATTTAGTCCTCTGCTGTTTCCTTTTTATTAAGTATCTAATGGAAAAAATAGATTTGACAATGTCCACTGTAAATATTCCTACTTAAGTGCACAGAGAACTAGACAATTTTCAGCCTGAATATTGAGGGCATATAAATCAATTCAACAAATTTCAACCATGTATCATTTTTATATTATGTTTAATTTGAGTATAATAAAGTAAAGTTAATTTTCTAGCTTAATTATTCAGTAATTGCTAGGTTTCCTTAATGAGAGAATAGGATTGCAGAAAATGCAAATGTGATATAATTCACACTATAACTCTTAGTTATGGAACAATATTGTATACCTTAAATAAATTGTTTATATTCATTGTGTTTCATAGTTTATTCCAAATATTTTTCTCTTGAGGATTGAACATGTTAATCTATAATGGCTACACTGAAGCAGAAATTTTAAACTGATTGAAATGATTTAATACATCTTGGCTCACGGTATAAATGTTTTGCTGGCCTATATATCAAATTTGACACGTTTTAAGTGCTTTTAAGTTTGAACTTGGAAATAAGGTATTACCCCTACTAAGTTTTCTCTTTTTTTCAGGACCCAGTATCTGATACACCAGGGGAAAAAGAAGAAAAATCCGAGTAACAGTTTTTGATCAGTGGTTCTCTCACCGCTGCCTTGTATAATCCAGAGGAATATTTTTATCAACTATTTTTAAATGCAAGTTTTTTTTAGTGATTTTAGCAAATACATTTTTAAAATAGGATATCTTCTATATCTCTTTTAATGTAATTGAATGTATATGCCTTGTTTTAATGAAACTAAAAATCATGTACTGGTTATAGGTTTTCTGTACAACCAGTAATTTAATGGAATGTTAGATGAAGGAATATTTTCAAATTTTTACTGCTTTACAGAGCTATCTTTTGGATGTCTGTTTAGAGGCACTAAGCATACATAGGATTGTAGGTTTAACATTCCAGAAGCCCAGGTGGGCAACTTACAGTATATCTTCTATATAGGACTTTAGTTTTAATGAATATAGGATTACTTCTTTAAATTTCTAGCTCTTAATTGAAAACAATGCTTAATATATGCCAGTAGAAAATAAGTTGCTTATTTCTTCTGTAGCCTGAAAGATAGTTTGATGAACTTTTAAGAGAAGCATTGCCTCAAGTAGATTAAGTGCGGGTGGGTGGGGGAATTCACAATTCTTGATTTGATTCCTTGATGGTTGATCTTGCTTTCAAGTTAGTCTATGACAGTTATTTTTTGTAGTACAGCTGTAGTTTATTTTTTCAGGTTTTCTAATACATTGTGAAAGATTGGAGATCTGGGTATGTAGTGTGTGTACTGTACAAATTTTTGATTTAACAAGATATGGCTTGAGATGGCAGTATTTGAGACACTGGTACTTTTCTAATTTGAATATTTTATCTAAGAAATTATGATAACATGGGGTTTACATTCAATTATTGGAAGAAAAAGCTCTATACTTAATGTCTGTGATTCATCCTATGATCTAATAAAATATTGACAATAATTTTAGAATTTCAACTTGACTCTAAATCAGCTTTTATATAATAGTCTACAAAATTCAATTATGTCTTGTTTTAATACAATAATAGGAAAGTGGTAAGAATTATTTTTTCCCCAAGCCTGTAAATTGCTACCAGAAGTTTACTTCTGTTAATGTGAGATCACAAGTGCTTACTGTTACTACTTTTAGTAGTCTTTTTAGTGAATTATGCTGATGATTTTGACTTCTGCAATCTAGCAAGAAGAATGGTAGTGAAAGCTCTATTCTCAATTATAGGAACAGAGTCACCAGACAAATTTAACTTCTAGGAGAAAGACCAGGACAAAGATCTCCTATTCTGCTCTTGGAAGAGAACTCATTAGTCCTGGTTCTGAGTTGACAATTAGAAAACAAAACAAATGGTATTCGTATTCCATTTTTCTTCTCCCCACAATCATTGCCTTTAAAAAAAACATTCTCTTTGATTATTGATTAGTTTACCAAAATCAATTGAAATATGTTTTTTAATTGGTCTCAT